CATCTCGTTACTTGAGCTTCGCGTCAGCCCTCGCTCCTGCATTGAGTTCAATCACAGTGTGGTCGTAGCCGAAATTCGACAAAAATTATCGGCATCACATCGACGTCGCCCTAATGAAACAGCTTTACTGATGTTCATAATGAATGAGATGGTGACGAAGCGCAGTCGTTCTCTGAAAGGATGTAGTGAATAGAATGAAAACAGAAGTATCAAAGCTCACTGATGCAAAATGCGCTTGGAAGCTGGCAGTGTCGATTCGGCATAACAGATTTAATATAACTTGTCCTTTATTTGGTGGGAAGCAGGTGGTTAGATAAATACGGCATATATTATCTTCTGTTGTTGACAGTATCACAGCGTTAGAGTATAAATGAATTAGACCAAGAAACGGTGCTTCTAGTGCTTTACTGTACTGTCTAAGGCATCGCATGGTCGTTTCGTGCGTGCTGTAAACTGGTTCGACCGATTTGGCAGAAAGTCGTGGTTGGAGGCGGAAACAGATGATCAGTGAGCTGCTGGAAAAGATGACGGGCCTACCATACGACAGCTGCACGACAGCCACCGGATTCAGAAGGCATTCATCCACGGTGCAGCGGTTCTCAGCTGTTACGATCAAGATAAATGCCTCAGAAGACAGGTGGAGCACTGTCCGGAGTGCTTAAAGAGTTGCCCTTCAAGTTTATCTCAGCTGTTAATCAATTCACCAACACTAGAGGCTATTATAGATCCGCAAATAGTAGTGCGATGTTGATCGAATCCATCCAAGGTTAATCAGTATGGAGGAACTGGGATGGTAGAGAAATTTTAAGCCCTCCTTTACCGAATAGGGACCAGTTTTTCGTCAGAGTCTGAATAAGTAGTCAGTGAGTCTATATAAAGTGGAAAATGTAATCGACTGTTGCAGCCATCGTGGTGTCACAACTATGTTAATACCGGAAGAACTGGATTCACCCCAGATTTTTCCTGTTCATAGAATCATAGAATAACCCCACGAATCCAGTTTTATTTTTATGCCCATGCTTTCAGGGATTTTTAGCTAAGTTCAATTTTATACGTTATTCTTGAGTGTATCAGCTTCATTTTAGATGAAATTTATGAGGCAATCACATCTGCCATAGTGAAGAAATCATAAGTTGAATTAGGACTGTCAGAGTCACATTAGCAACACTTACTGTGCAAGAATTTTCCGCTTTCGCCTCAAAAACAGTGTTGTCCCTGACAAAGATGAGGCTCTTATGCAAACTGGAAGACGCAGTTCGAAATATTCAGCTAGATAGTTTAATGACCTGGAATACGTTGATGGTATTGCGGTATTGTCCCGATGCATAATACGGAAAGCAGGCCTCGCTGCCACGTTGTTTCCGTATTCAACGCAAATGCGTTAGATATATATTTCTTCCTTAACGTTCAAAAGTCAACGTAGATATGAATCTATCCGACAATGCAGAAGCGCAAGCGCAACGTGGGTGAAGCAATAATATAGTCGGCCTGTTTAAGTATCCCATTTCCGTTTAATCCAGTGTCTGTGCTACCTATTTATAGTAAAATAGGGGGTCGCATCGTTTTGCTTCCGCAGCTTTTGGCTTTGTTCCTTATTTTTTCTCCTTCAATATTCTGCTGATAAAGGCACATTCTTTCGACAAGATCCGCATGTAGCTTGGCTCGGTGAGGCATCGTTACACGGCATAAAAGCCTTCGTTCTAAAGAACGTCTATTCGAACGGAATAGGTTTATTTTTCAAGAAACAGGCTGTTGTACCCGAAAACTACTCAGAAGAGCGACTCGGTTCTGATTTGATGAGTTGAAAACTGTTATGAAGGATGCCGTATAATACGCAGTGGTGTTTAGGTTGCTATGAAGGCGATCAACATGCAACTGTCTGCTGCGGTGCCTTCTTTCGCACATATGAAACCCGAGCTCTGGAGTGCGATCGATGAAAAGATAGATCTTAAAAACTGTTGTGTTTACAAGTAAGGCTACATTTGTTTTTCTTTTCGCCCTGCGCGTCAGCGAACAGTGCAGACATATGAACCCGACCCAAATGCTTTCATGCAAAGTTACTTCGTTTGCATGCGTAAATGAACATAATGGTAGAGGAGTTCTCCACGTCTGAGGAATTCGTTCACGTTTAGTAGAACCTCGCATCTTTTGCAGCAACTCAGATGCAAGTGGGGTGAAGGAATGAAGTATGGTGGAGTGTTTTCCCATCAGCCGCTACTGTAGAATATATTCCTATCACAATGCATAAATCGGATTTGACAAACGATGCGCTAGTGAATACATGTAACGATATGATCTTACTTTTTTGTCGGTTTCAAATCGGTTTCGTTTTGACCTCTCTTGGTGGTATCTGCCAGATCGCATATCTGGTATACTAGACCAACAATCCATTCTTATGCAAAAGGAATCCAAATGAGTCAAAGGATTAGACATGCAGTTGGCAAGTTAGTAAGCTAGCAAGACATCGAAACACGGCAGGAATTCCAAAAGTTCGCGAAATGTTGCTGATGGAGACAGATTAGTTTGTACAATTGTAATTTGTGAATTGAGGTAATTTGCTAAACTATTTTCCTTTGGTCAGCCAAAATGTGAGCATTACTGTTCAGACAGTCGGTGACGCTCGCGAATGACTTTGACACTGAGAAATGGATAAAGCAACAAGCTGTTAATAATAATAGCATCATTAGTGGGTATTCAGGTGGTAGTTTCGTATCCATCGAGAAGTAATGTGAGGAACTGAACCGTCGAAAGGGAAGGACAGAGCAGCTTCACAACGATTGCGAAATCTACTGCTCCAAGCAGTGGTTGACCTGGGTCACCAATTCACTTCCTAAGTGTAAATTCAACAGATGTCTGTTATGTGCATTTGTACGCTGTGTATAAACGCATCACGTTGCTACTGTTCAATGCTATAGTTTCATTAGAACTTATGGCTGACTAATTGACAATTTCAGGGTTTTTGACTAATTCTCGTGGCTACCGCGAATGATAGCTGGAAGCAATAGGTTCATCATACTTCATTGTGAAGAAATGACCTGACTTCCGTCGTGGGAAATTGTACTGTTTGTACTGTCTTGAGGATTAACTAGGGGCTTTCGCAACAATGTGGCGGGTGCTTCAATTCAATATGCATTTAGTTAAATCCCAAAAGTTGTAGCTGAATGAAAGCCTGGGCGAGTTCTCGCATTAAATCATCAGTGTTCCGCCGCTGTTCAGGTCATTCGTCGAACAGCAGATTTTTGATTTCCTGTTTTGCATTTCAGCTACCTGTCAAAGCTAACGATTTTTCAGTCTCCGCTAAGATTATGGACGTTATAGACACTATATTTCTTCTACATGTCACGTGATTGTCGGTTAATAGGCTGGTTGTGCCAGTTTTATTGTTTCATTCATAAGTTTTTCAATTTGTTCTCCTGCTGTCAATATTCAGTTTTCTTATGTTTCTGTTGTATTTACGTGGAAACAGTTAAGGCCTTTAATATTATAGCGATGACGACACGCTAAAAAATGAGATTAATCACCTTTGTTATAAATT